CATCAGGGCTTCAAGACGGTGGGTCAAAAGTGTCATCCATCTCTTGGTCATAGTAGTTGACTCCCCTGTAAAACTGACAAGGGACAGACTGGCTGTGGCGGAGGACGATATTCCACATCCACTGAAAATCTTCTTTGCGCTCGACAAGCGCTGAGAGGATGTGATTCTTGATTTGGCGAAATGGAAGTGGGTCTCAAGACATGGAAGCAGTCCACCTCTTTAGGTGAAGGTAATGGAGGGAATCCGGATTCGTTCCCTTCAATGCTTGCTGGCGTTGGCTGATCAGACTTCAACTCAAAAACCGAATGGCCTACGGGCGTGGCAGTAATGAAGCCGACTTGGAATGTAGTGCCCGGAACTTGTTTGTTGGGTATAGGTGCATGGCCTGAAATGGCAATTGGCACCACTGATCGGCTGGCTTTGTGGGAAATGACATTCTTGATATATAACTTGGAAGACCGAGGTCGAGCAGCCGGCCAGGAGGGCATTAGAGGTGGATGATGAGCCCCAAATCGCCAATTTTCCACATCACTCCCTGCTGGGACAAGATGTCCCATATCCCCGAGTCGGCTTCCAGCGGTATTTGTTTGATAATACATTTTGGCTACGCGAGGGCCAAAGTTTAGCTGGCGGCAAAGTCCCAAGATAAGTAAATGTTAAACGTTACCTGGTCGATTTGGTAGTAGGGAATCGAAATGTACTGCTTTCCTGCGAACAACATTGCTTCCAGGAGTGCGTCGCCTGTTATCTGAGCGTTTACTGAAGGGCGCTGAGCTGTCCAGCCAAACTGCCGGCTCCGCCGCCCGAGCCAACCTCTGCTCCCGAAGTTCCCTGGCCCTCCGCAGCTTTGGAAGCAGAGACATTTTGACGCCTTGGTTGTTAGAAAAGAATATTTAGAACTTATTTAACATCTTCGCAAATTCAATCTCCTTACCTCGTACACGGCGTTCCTTTTTGAAAACCCTTTTGAGGAGGGTATCCCGGGCCTTTTGCCGGTCCGTCCGGTTAAGTTGCCATAGAATTTTTTCGATTTTACAGCAAGTGTTCTTCCTTCTTAAGCTCCCGCATGTTGAACAAGGGTTGAAGGGGCTGCCCATTCTTGGAGTCAAAGTGTGAAATAAGTGAGAAACAGAAAGAAGTAGGAGGTCGGGGCAAGCTGACGATTGTGGGGAATCGGATGGGTTGATTCTGATGGTAGAAGCCAGTAAATTCCAAGCAGATAAAGAAAAGAAACGTCTTTCCGCGTTACAACGATTTGAACAGGAAATAACGATAGGCAGAGACTCGATTGCCTTGCGAATCTTGACAGAAACAAAACAATAACTACTGCCTAGGAGGACCAATAGTAAAGATCCGCCACGCGCGCTGCACACCGTCTACATCGTAGCCCCTCCTCGCTGTTTCCGAGTATTCACGCAATAACCGAATGTTTGTGTAAACATTTCTTCCGAGTTTTGCAAAATTCTCAGCCAGGACATCCACAAGGGATAGTAGGGAAAATTTTGGTACGAGCTCAAGAAGGCCGGGAATCGCACCAGAAGCGAATCCCGTGCATGTTCAGGAAAGTGCTCCGGTCGCATCGTATTGAAGGTGCCGCCAGTTGGGTAGTCGGTTTCTAGCCATTTTTCCAATAGCCAAATGGCGTCGTTTTCACGTATGGGGAGAGCTAATGCCGCGAGAGCCTCGGGTTTGGCTCCGTGACGAAAGGCATCTCGACCTTTTGTCGTGGGTGGGATCAGGGTGGCCGGTACTTGGGTAATCAAAGGAGGACGTCGCTGCGGGACCACCGTCCCGATCTTGTCCAGTTCGCTTTGCCAAAGTCGGCGCAGCTGCTCGCCATGATCCATGGTGTCAAAGACTGAAACTGGCACCACGATCGATGTGCGTCCTGTGGGTCTCCCGTTGATCGTCATGAGTTGCCCCGCCTGATCTCGGAATGAAATGCCCTGAGGAACAAAGTGAATCAAACGTTTGTCATCAGGAAGCTTGTTTGCCAGGGAACGAGCTACATTCGTCTTTGTGACCATAACATTTTGGTTGCCCGCAGGGAGTGTCGGGTCAACCCAAAACAGTTGCACCTTCCCTTGTGCAGTGATAATCACTTCGTGACCTTCTAGCGTTGGATGGTATTCCTCGCGCTTCCAAATTCCCCGAACCCTCGCGCGTTGCTTCTCTGGCGAATAATGATCGGCTGATTGTCCCTGCACCAACTGGGTGACTTTTGCATCAATGGCCGCCTGTTTGAGCACGGGATCCAACATCCACGAATCATCGGTCGCATCGGCTGGGGCAAACGGCAACAAGGAATTCCGAAGACCTGATGGCATTTGCCCGGCATAGAACCAACGCAAGGGAGGAAGCAAAGTAGGAAGTTGCTTTAGGACGACTCCTGGCCCATGCTTTGAACGCCGCTTCGTCACCGCGCTGCAGATGCAGCATCAGGTCTGGGTATTGCATTTTTCATAGTAGATTGACCTGTTCTTCCCTTTCTTGACTTTGGGGAGCACCTGCGGCAAAAAAAGCACGAATGACCCGGTCTTTAGCAGCCTTTTGAGTTTGTAGGTTGGCCGCCACCGAATGCAACGCCGTGGACCGTGGCCGTCCCTGTGCGAGCTCTTTTTTCAGATAAGTGTCATAATCCTTCTTGCCTTGTTCCAACGCTCGGTAGAGGTTGGCAAGCTTGGGATCCAGCATTGCACTACTCGGATTCACTCTTTGCCATACTGCATGCACAATGTCGTCGTGCAGTGGGTTGGCAGTCTGAGATGCCGCTTGCAGTAGCTGGTCGGCAATAAAAACTGTGATCATCCAGCACATGTCGAACAGGCGACGCAGTTCAGTCGGTTGAGATCCGTACTTGTCATAGCCTGGGTCGTAGTGGGGAACCACAATCGTGGCAAATCCTGCAGGGGGTCGGGTCGCGGTAGTAGAAAGAAGCCAATCTCTTGGGGCATAATGTTGTAAACGCGGCAAGCCTACCATATCCAAACCTGACCTTTGAGGAAGGCCGTAGGAATGATAGAAGTTGGCAGCCGCACAGGCATTTACCTTGAGAGAAAATACAACCAGGAGGAGTGGACGAGTGGCGCGGAGGTACTGGCCGAGCTGTACCAAGACTGCATCTTCTGGCTGCAGTGCAGGCCATGGACACAGGTTGACAAGTGGAAACGGGCCAGTCGATAATTGCGCAGCATCCCAACCGTGATGATTGTTTTCCCAAGACTGTAGACGAGCCGAAAAGTCCCTGGTCAATGCGCCCGCTCTAGAAGGACCCGTCAGAAACGGCTGGTTGGCAAGATAATCCTCTTTGGTAATGTCCTTTCCGATCAAAACCATCACAGTGTGACCATTGACCGTTCTCGGTGTTGCTTGCTGACGGTATGTCTCTAGCAGGGCGTCGCTCATCGGATGGTTGGCAGTGCAGGTTTCAACTGGATACGCATCTGTCATCTGTTGAATGGTTTGAATCCACTGACCGAGCCCGGCCGCGATGCCATCTGAGCAAACCTCTGACTCGCGCGAAAAGCGAGTAAAGAAATTTGTCTTGAGTAATGAAAACAAGGTATGATCGCGGATGTTGGGTACGTATGACGCATAGTAACCTCCCGATTGCTGATTCAACAGACTCTCAACTCCAAAAAATCCAATGATAATCCTTTCCCGGTCGTCGGCCAAGCGTGGGGAGCAAAAGGCGTCCAACGTAGCTCTGGAGAACTGGAATGTGCGGCCAGACACATAACTGTCGGGGAACTCCCTCTCGAGTATCGTTGTAAAGTGCTGCAGTAGACCGCTCGTCCGTTGCTTCAAGTCGGCCTCAAAGCGCGTGAACGGAACGCTGGGATAGGTGCATTTGCCGACGTAGCGAATGTGGCACGTCCTTGTCGCTCGCTTGTCCTTGGGCAGTAGAATGTACGGACTCAACCAGTGGTACACCTCGTCCGGGTTCAATTCTTCTTCCTGCCATTCGGCAATCAAGCGGTAGAGATCTTCGACCAGCACAGGCCAGCTCCGCACATAATAGAGTTCGCGACCGTGATGGTCCACATCCTTAATGGCTTCCATAGCGTCTTCAACGGTCGACTCTTGCAGCTGGAGTGCCTTCATCATGTCCTCATCAGTAACATCCATATGGTTGGTGAGAAGCTCCATAATAGTGTCAAGAGTGTCGGCGTCTTCTTGCAGGCCAGCGGTTAGGAACCCCAAGGATGCTGCCGATATATGTGAAGTGTCGATATTCCCCGCTCTCAACCGAGTCAGAATAGTGGTCTGGATGGTGTTTTGCAGATTCGTCAGGGTCAGTCCGTCGACATGCGGATACGTCTCTTGGGAGAAACTGTCCCCAGTGGCGATAACATAGTTGAGACGCGAAGGGTGCTCCAGCGACCAGGTAAGGAGTGATTTGACCATGTCTTTTGAAAGTTTTGGTTAAGACGTGGTTTGACGTTTGTATATAGGATAATACCTGGGATAGATTAATACACAGACGGAAGCAGTAGTGATGGTACACGCAGAATGCCACAGCAATCTGGGGGGGACAAGAATCAAGTCTTGGAATGAATCCACCAAGTTTGTGGATATGCGTAACAAAAAAAGAAGGGGGGAGACCGTCAAAAACCTGTAGCAAAGCAGGAATGAATTTTTCCTCCCGGGCACCCCCGGGGGAGTCCTTATTTTTCTTAGATGCGGAACAGGATGCGGAACTTTAGAAGCGACACATTTTTGGGAAAGACCAGACCATCTGTCATTGGCAAAATCAAGATGGATCCAGTCTTGATTGTCCGCGGGACCCCCAGAACAGTCCCAATTGGGATTTTAAAAGTCCCAAAGATAGTGCTAAGATCGCCCAACTTGGGCTAAATGATGGTCATAAGGGGGTCTTACGTTTTCAAAAGTCCCAGTTTTGACAAGAGAAGGCCACCACCCACCACGTTGTCGATATCAAAAACACAAAAACAATCTAACCAAGTTGAAGAAAAGAACAGCAATTGAGAGAAAAAAAAGCCGACTTAGCACAGTGGCAGTGCGTCTCCCTCGTAAGGAGAAGGCCGCGTGTTCGATCCACGCAGTCGGTATTTGTTTTTATTTTTTTTGGGGGGGGGGATGCTGTGGGAAATTTGGCGACTGCGGGTCAGGTCACTCACCACACCGACGTCAGTGGTGTTGCCAACACTAATTCTGAACCATAAATCCTGACCCAGTTTCAAGAATTAGTGTTGGTCAGCCTGCATTTCTTCCTATGGGTAATTTGGTTTGATTTGTGTTGCAACAATTGCGAATCAACTTGTGGCGACACTCCCATACCTACGGCTTTTCGCCGGGAGGAGAAAAAAAGAGGAGGAGAGTTCAGAATTAGTGTTGGTGAGACTAATTCTCAACCTACACTAATTCTCGACCAACACTAATTACTGACTTCGGTGTACATGTCGCAAAACTTTCAGAGATGTGGTAACAACCGAACAGCAGAGTGCCGAATGTAATCGTTGGTACAGTAAAACCTCTAACAAAACTTTTATTCTCAAAACTTATAATTTCTGTTCACTTACAAATGCACCAGTAATTGTCAGATGCATAAAAAGTGTCCAAAACAGAAAAAATCAAACGATCTAATTCAACATGTCTACCGTAAATATCAGGTCCAGACCCGATATTTACAGTACTTTGTTTGTGGTAGTCGTTGGTACCTCTCCTTACTCCCTCAACAAACTAGCGCAAAGCATAAGCTGCTGCTCCCAGTGCTCCCTGAAAGGATCCAGTTTTTTTTTTCGCCAGGCTTTAACAGTGGTAGTGCGTCTCCCTCGTAAGGAGAAGACCGCGTGTTCGATCCACGCAGTCGGTATTTTTTTATTCGTTTTTTGGGGTGGGGGATGCTGTGGGAAATTTGGCGAGAGATATGGTAACAACCGAACAGCAGAGTGCCGAATGTCTAATAAAACTTTTATTCTCAAAACTTATAATTTCTGATAACTTACAAATGCACCAGTAATTGTCAGATGCAGAAAAAGTGTCCAAAGCAGAAAAAATCAAACGATCTAATTCAACATGTCTACCGTAAATAACAGGTCCGGACCTGATATTTACGGTAATTTGTTTGTGGTAGTCGTTGGTACCTCTCCTTCCTTCTTCATCATAGCTAGCGCAAAGATAAGCCCAGTGCTCCCTGAAAGGATCCAGTTTTTTTTTCGCCAGGCAGTGGTAGTGCATTCACGCAGTCGGTATTGACGTTTTTGTTTTTTTTCCTGCTGTTTTGGATGTGGATTTCCAGAGATTTCCTGTACTCCTTTTGGAATGAGGGGGTGCTGAGAAGACATTGCCTTTGCCTAGAAATCTCTCACTCTATATGAATGGGAAAATGTAGAACTTATGTATATTTTTGCTTCTGTTTCGGATCAGGTCTCGGATATAGATTTCCTGCTGTACTTCCTTTGCATGCAAATAGTGGATGCTGAGAAGCCCATCATATTTTGCTATTTTTGCTTAAAAACCTCTCATTTGTGTTAACTCTATATAAGTGGCGTATCTATGCTGCAACCATGTCCTTGAAAGACGCTAAAGGCCAACTTCTGATAATATGTCCTCAATCACCGCCTTCAGATCACCTCCAGAGGCCCAGCCTCGCACCTCGGCATCGACTGCGCGTTTCGCATGCTTTGGAACTTTTGCAACCGGGTCAACGGTCTGTGATGTGCCCAGCGTCCCTGTGGGATCAGATATATCCTCTGCAGAATTGGCTGGGGAAAGGATAGATGCCAGCATATGCTTGAGCCGTGGCAGGACCTTATCCTGTTTGCGAAGTTTCAAGGCCGGGCACAAGTCATTTCGTCCATCCCCGGCATAGACCACTACATCATACGGCTCACGGGCTGCCAGCAGATCCAAGAGTTCAGAGCCCTTGCAGAGGTTCACAGCGCATCCATTGGGACAGTTATGTGGAGGAGCGGGTGGAGCTGTACGTCGTGATATTGAAAGAAGTTTGGCTGGGGTAACGTGTGCGGGATTGGTGATGATTGTGGTGAAAAGAGGGTACAGCTCTCGTTGATGAGCCTATTTTGAGCATAAGTGTGTGTGGGAGCATAGAGAAGGGTGATCATTCACCTGTAAGATCCGTTTAATGGCAACCTCATTCGCATCCGAGAATACCGCCAAGTCACACCCTCGACGTTTGGCATCTCTCAACATTTCGCCAACTGCCTCGTCGAACGGGATGTTGTCCAAGGCCTTTAAGGCCTCATCAGATGTGATTCCTTGAGCGTGCAAGTCTCGATGGAGCTCGGCCATTAGATCCGTCCATTGTGTCTTTCCTTGTTGATTGTAGAGCTTGGGAGGGAAGGGTAAGCGATTTCCCTAGACTGACATGCTCGTCAGATTTACCTTTGCAAGGAGCTCCGGGGCGAGCGATGAGAAAACAAAGCGGTCACTGTCCTCGTCTACAAGAGTCCTGTCGCCCCAAAACGTCAACTCTCAAACAAGTACTTCACGCGTTTCTCACAGATTTGCTTTACCAGTCAAAATCGAATGCCAGCAAGACTCTTGGCTTCTTTGTATTTGATGAATCTGATCCTTCACTCGGGCGCTTTGTTCCATCCATGATGGAACTCTGCCGGTCCTGTTCTTTGACATCCTCCCGGGCCAGCGGATGATCGTAGGGATCGACGGCGGTGACTTGAGCTGAAGGCGACATTTCAAAAGTTCTGAAAGAGTTTAAAGTTGACAGAGGAGGAGGACACTCGAGCAGAGAAGGGATGCCCGGAAACTGTCAGGGAAACTATATTTGACTTTCCAAAAATTTGGAACTTGATGGCGTCAGCTCCATCATATAAACAAACGCACGTTTTGCCAGATCTGGAGTATTGGACGCTCGTACCATAGGATGAAAAACATAAGAACTTTGGGGCGAGCAAGGTTCAAACCCCCAGCAAAACCAAACAACTATATTAGGAAATGTTCAACGGCACAGATCCATCTGCAGTTTGCATCAGAGTTAGGTCCTATAGGATGTGTATTATGATGTCAAATACAATACTATGTGAGAATCAATGCCTTCAAAGAAGCTCTAACGGAAAGTACAACTGCTCGAGCCAATGGAATCACTTCGTATGGTTCATTATAAGATCGGATTAGGCGGAGCTCAAAAAACCGGGTTGTCTGGTGTGAAAGGTGCATGTACAATGGTGTCGAGTAGGATGACTAGAAGCAGTAACTATATTGCCTGGTAAATCTGTCGAGTGACAATAAAAAGATTAAAAGCTGGTACGAAATGTCACCCAATAATCGAGCGGTGCATACCTTTTCCAGTGCCGAATCGCCACCCATGAGAGTGAAACATCCCGGCCGTTGACAGGATGGACAGATAATGTCCTCAGAGATTAGCTTGTACTAGTGAATCACCGCTACAAGATACTGATCGACAGATTCGCAGGTTTTACTCCATTTAAGTGCGGTTTCGTATTCTTGCAGTGGGGAAAGCAGTGTAGCGTCAGCAGCGGATGTCTCAGAGTCGCTTATCGCCGCTTCTATATGGTCTATTATGTCAAAGAGCTCAATCCTCTGCTGAGCTGTTCGGGAGTCATTGGTTGGCCATAACCATCGCTGCTTCAGCTCGTCGGACGAGGCAGGGCTTGGTAAAAGATTATTCAGAAGGGCAAGTGCATCGGAGAAGGAAAATGACTTTTGACCACAAACTTGAACGACCAGCTATGATCCCACGCGATAAAGGATGAGTACATGAACGAAAGATAAACAAACAGAAGAGAGTCACGAACCTGGGAACTCAATCATGTTTGATTCTTGAATGATTCTTTCGAGCTTTTTCTCGCGCTTGCACACTTCCGCAACGCTTGTAGTATGGACACGTCGCTGAACTTCCAGTCTTTCCAAGGCATTCAGCGCATCCATATATTTTGAGGGCAAAATTTCTTCGGAAAAGCGTTGGGACCAGTCTTCGGAAAATAATTCCGGTGCCCGCGAAACGGCACCCCTTATAGCCGCAATCCTAGACGCAATAGCACAGTTTGCATCGTCCTCCAAGTCCGAGCATTCAGTCAGTTGTGCTCCAGTCTGTGCATAGAGAGCACGGAGGGTCTCCGACTTTGCTTGTGGCCCATGGAGGGAGAGGTATTCTACTACCCACTGCGCTACCCTGACCGTAATGCGCTTTGGGTCGATCGGGTCCAAAGTCAAATCCCTTGCGGGCAGATCACGGTGGAAAACATTGGTTTCTCACCAAGCGCGGCGGATGCTGATCTTGAGAGCTGATATCGATTTGTCACAGTTTTCGCGACAAACGATGCCAGATCATCACAGTGATGGCCTTCGCCGTATAGGCCCAGGACTACTTTTGTCACTGCTTTCCAAGGCGCTGCTATCCTCCGAATGCCAGTTCCACCACTTTTTTGCTATTGACAACGATAAAGCCCCTCCGCGAACGTCTACCTACATTTGCAAGAACTGTCTCCTGCACCTCGAGATATTGCAAGCCAATACGGTAGCGACGCCCTGCCCACAACCTCAGTCTCCAATACATCATTACCATGTTATAGAGACGGGTCATGGTTCTGAGTTCTTGTGCAATTGCTGTCAATGTTCGAGGCAATTGGAGATCAAGTTGCATACTCCTGTCATTATTTCCGAGATCTTCAAGGCACTGTTACAGGACAAGGATGTACGCCATCAATCCAATGCATGCAAAATACTATGCGCCTATTTTCAGGACATGGCATCAAATAAGACCTTTAAAACCATCAACGCGTCGAATAAGGCCTTCGCAACGTGGCTCGGATACAATCCCCAAACGTATGCCGATCTCTGCTCCATTATAATTACAGATTCTGAGAGCTTAACAAAATGTAACGCAGAGATTTCATCTTTTCTCGTCTGGGGTACACCTATAATCCGGATGAAAACTGCTTCACACCACCATCAGATCCAGCAGAACACGCAGAGGCTGCGCGACTAGTATATCGAGAAGCTCTGTTTATGAGATGGAAAAAGGAAGGTTCGCCGGGTATGTTTGATAAAGGTCGCATTCCGTTATACTTCGTCAAACTGATGGTACGGAAGCGCAGGCATGCTAGAT